AACAAGAAGGGGGGGGGGGGGGGGGGGGGGGGTTTGCACAATCTCAATTATGAATTCATGTTAACAATGTATTTTGTAACTGACAGTTCAAAAATAAATGGACTTAAATTGCTCAACCTGCAGAGCTTTAAAACTTAACTTTTCATGCTAGGGAGCGGTGGCGCAGGCGGTAAGTGAAGCCTGCATTGACATCTGGCCGAACAGCTTCGGCTGTTCGAGCCCCACTGTGACCGGGGTGAGCTCCCGGCCCTATGTCCCAGCTCCCGCCCACCCAGCGGCTCGAAAGCCCGTTAAAGGGCAAATAGACAAATAGGTACCTGCTCTTAGAGCGGGGGGGCACCCGTCCCTTGCGGTGTAGCGGCGGCGTGAACGGCGGGCGGTGGCGGTGGAGAAACATGGCGGCGGCTGGCGAGGCAAAGCGAGTGAGAGGAGGCTGGGCTGGCAAAAAGCACGGAGGCAGGGCAACGCAGCAGGCCGGAGCCTACTGGACAGAGGCCGGCAACGGGCATGCGCGGACGTGTGCTCGGTCCAGGCCCGAAGGAGTCGCAACAGCCAGGAAGTCGCAACAATCAAAGACCAACGCCAGGAGGACGTCGTCAGACGAGCTCCCGCAGACAACAACGACTCGCTACAGGGTGCCTGGTAGGCTAGTCACTCTCCCCCTTGTATGTATGTTGCCCTAGGTTAGGATTGGATTTAATGGAATATGTAAACCACTCAGAGCCCTTAGGGGGTGAGCGGTATATAATTGAGGGAAATAAAGAAATAAATATTCCAGCATCATGGCAAACTCTAATTAAACAGAGGTTTGTGGGCATCAGGAATGATCATTTGCTATGACATCCAAATACAGGCAACTCACTAAAGTGGAATATTTTTCTCCCCACAAGCCTTGTATCCTATCAAGCCTTATGGCCTGTTGAGAGTAAACCAATTTGCTGAGGCGCCTGAATTGAGACATCTTGGAAAACTGGGGCTGAATCGAAAAAGGAAGTGTTCAATCAGGCTCTATAGAAGGGAGGAGGAGAAGGAATGTGGGAGGGGTGAGGGAAGCATGCAGGCATAGCAAACAGACGGTGATTGTACCCTGTGCTGACAACCTTCTGTTTAATCAAAGGTCTGTCATGACATTTGAATGCAGGCACTGTTTAACAAACAGGAAGTGTGATTGGAAGAAACACTCTTCTTCTGGCAAGTGAATTCACTGCAAAACATGATGGAACTCCCAACAGAATGAATCACTTACAATTTCACCCAAATGAGACCTCAGATAGATGCTTTATTTCCAAATATATAGTTCTGAAAAGGTTTTTCACTAAGCCTGCTTTTCCTGGTGCTCCATTAATTTCTCATTTGATGATGCTGGATGGCAAGTCATTCCCAGTACCGAATGCTAGTAAGGAAAAAATTGTCCCAAACAAGGTGGTCACTAAGGTGACATAGCAACAGAAATTCTGTCTTTGCCTAGGATCTACTAACCAGACCCGTAATATTAATTCCAACAATTAGTTTGGTGAGCAACATATATCTCTGACACACAAAACTAAATCCTATTGGAAAATGACTAACACTACTGTCCTAAGGTGTGCTTTTCTAAAGACCCCCTGAATAGCAGAAAATACAAACCAAGGGTATCTTCCAAAAGATTTTGACCCAGTATCCATGTTGGGTAGAGATGGGAAACCTTACTAAAGCCCTGTGGATGATTTCCCAGCAAATCACGGGATGACAGAATTACATACTCATGGTGCTTTTAAAGCCAGTGACATCATGGATGGAGGGAGGAAATTGTTGAAGGGAGGGAAGTCCCAACCTCTCTCTATTCCTGGAGTTCTGCTCTTCAAAGTTCAC